TTTCTTTCTTTCTTTCTTTCTTTCTTTCTTTCTTTCTTTCTCTTTCTCTCTCTCTCTTTCTTTTTCTTTCTTTCTCTTTTTTGGTACAGAATATGCTTATTTTTGAATGGAGGGACTTGAAAGACAAAGCCCCACCTGGCTTTCACAACATCTCCTGTTAGTAGGTGTGCCTTGTGCGTAATTTGAAGGAGGCAGTCCCTTAGCTGTGTTTACACTATACTTTTCAATGTGGGGCTGAAGGTGCAATCAACCATACTTGAGATGCTACCTGGGAAAACAGAGTTCTTTGTCATCTCAGCCCCACACATTTGCAAATGATTTAACAGCAGCACTATTAGGGTTCCTAGTGCGAGTCATTTGCATTGGGACTCGTCAACTTGGTGACTTCCTGTTGTACGGAAACAATCTTTGCAGTCTTTTGTAAAAAGCCTAAACAGTGGACCAGTCTCCAGTTCTACTTGGCAAAGCTGCCCCCATCAAATCCCTCATAATGTTCAACTTAAAACATTTTACTTTTCTCTAGAAATCTAACTTTTTTTCCTTTTTTAAAAAACCATTTTAAGTCCTTCAGTCTTGAATTAAATGATCCCAAATATTGGACACCAGCTAAGAAATTGAATTACTTTCTGGGAACCTTATTGAAGAAGAGAGATATTATTTGGAGAGGGGGGTTGATGCTTGATACTTATATTTACTCTTTTAAGATTTCATTGTTGTTGTTGCTGCTGCTTTATTTTGTAAGTTTTGTTTCTTTAAATTTCATGGTATTTGGTAGGAGAGATCTGGATCTGTTGGTTTCAGGACAAATCTAGAAATGAGAAATCTGCCTTGAGTAGGTGAGTTGGTTCGCTCTGTTGCTATTTCACAATTTAGGACCAAAAGAACTCACAAGGACAAGAGACATCTGGCTAAAAGTAATACCAGTGTGACTGGACATCTACTACCTGCCATAATTGGTCATATCATTTCCAGTATGATGCTGATTGAGTGAGTGATATTAGGCTATGTTTAGGGATCAGAGAGGCAAATTGTGCTTATATTGCCTTGTAGCATTGTGGTAACAATTAATGATTATGTAGATGTCCACATTTAGGTCATCAATACTCTAAAAGTTCTCATTGAACCATCATGTTTATAAGTA